GAGACCTAGAACAAGCAGAGGTAAAGAGAGGAGGAACGTTGGGGATACATTCCATGTAGCTATGTTCTCACCATCACAAAAATGATGCAATGTCTAGTTGCTTGACACGTGGAACAAAAGCTCAGGAGAGAGATGACGATGGTGACCACCAAGGTCCTTCTGATTCTACAATCCTCTAAAACAGAAAAGCAAAATCTCTTCATAAGAAATGCAAGGGGCTGTATACTAGAGGAAGAAGCTACTTAGCCCATCTTCTAATGCAGAAGCTGTGGGATATGCTCAGCTCCCTTTCCCTTCACTCTAATTTACCTGAGACCTAAGTTAGCTTTAATAGTGAAGACCAAAACTAGAGGAGCACAGGTCCTCCCCCACCTCCTACCTAAGGATAGGAGGAAATGATGGACCCAAGAACTCAAAGGCCGGGCTCAGAAAGAAAGAGACAGGGCGGGGATTCAGGTGCTATCATGAAAGGCACGCAATGCAAAAGTCAGAAATGCAAGGCGGTGGTCACCAAGACCAGGAGCTGAAAAAAACAAAAGCTGAAGAGGAATCACACAGGGCAGACTCTCCATTACATTCTGCGTGCAGTTTCCTCGGTAAGCTGGAGTCTGCCGTCAAGCAAGTCATGGAAAAGAGGCCCGCTGATGACACGCAAGTGGAATCGGTTGTAGACTGCTTGACTGAGAAGTTGGACTATAAAAGAAGAAAGCAAAACAGGGTAGTAGCCAGAGCTGGCTGTTGTAACAGACCAGTGAGGACGGTCTTTGTGTCTGTTTGCAGGCAGAGAAAAAAGAATTGGGGGGAGAAGGGTAATATCAAGGGACGATATTATTAGTAATAGCAACAACATATATTCACTGAAGCGGGTCGGATTCCAGTGCTCAGCATGTAATAGGACCTACTTTGTTGGCACTACCATTATGAGTGAGATGGCAACTTCACCTGTCTCCTCAAGTTAAGGGTCATCTGGAGCTTTATGTGATATATCCCAGAGCTGTTCTGTAGGTGAAGACACTGAGCACTGTCAAATCAGTCATGAGAAGAATGGGATCAAACAGATCGTTGAAAGTTTCTGTCTTTTCCTCACAGAATAGGAAAACGATGTGAAATTAAATATTTAGAAAATTGACACTGGGCAGGAAAACAAACATATATAGGGTAAACAGACATATCTGTGCAGCCAAGCTACTGAAAACATTAAAGCTGATAAACGCCAGGCAGAAATTCACAGGATGTTGACATCACAGCAGTGAAAAATCAAGGTGGAGAGAAAGATGGGCTGGTGGCTGAGGAACAGCCATCGTGCTGAAGATACCGGATGATGAAATTGGCCTTGTCAGGCTGACAGACATCATAAGCAGGGGCTTGCTGCTCAGCGTCTGCTTTGGCCAATTTGCTGTTTTAAAATCCTGTTTGTCATCGTGTTTGTATTGTTAGGAAATCACGTGCCATCGAACATGAAGAATACAGGAACACATTAATGGGGCCTCAACAAGACTACTGCCTACTCCCTACGGAGTCCTTTAAAAGAAATATGCAAGCAGGGGTGACAGACATAAGTCCAGTATTTCAAAATCAGTCACAGTCACAATTTCCTATTGGAAATTACTTAAATTCCATTAGAAGTCACTTCTCTCAATATTTCCTTTAAGAGTCAACCTCATTTTTAAACCTACAAAATGAATTTTAAATCAAAACGGCTATCGATTCCTCAGAGAGGTTACCCAAGTAATTGACTTTATATTTAAATAAATTTAAGATTGATGAGGAAACTCCAATGGAGAAGGTATTCTGGTTTTATTTCCATTTCAGGGCTAACCTTCACATCCCAGAACTGACCCACCCACCCAAAGCAGGCTTTTCTGTGGCTCCACAGCGGGGTGTGGTGATGGCGGTGGGGGGGGGGGGGGAATCCCCTTATATGTGTAGTTTGTGCAGATAGGAAATGCAGTACCAATTAATTACCCGCCGACGATCTGAGCATTTGATTTCTCTCTGCTAGACCTTGGGACTACGTTAAATTTTACTTTGGTAGGAATTACGTATTTTCAACCATATTCAGGCACGGGTGCATACACACATACAGAGGTCAAGAACGGGACTTTACTTCCCCGTTTTTGGATGGAAAGACAAGAGGCACCGGGCCCACTGGCTTTTAAAAGCATGCTGTTTATCACGGTCTCTGTGACCAAGGCAGGAAAGCTATTTGTGCACCAGGGAACAGCTCTCCCTGACTAACAAGGCACAGAAGGGCCTTAAGGCGGCCAGCTCTAGGGTCAGGATGCGCCGAAGGGCGCCGCTGCCTGCAACGCTTCAGCACGTCGGCCAGCTCCCGCGACCCACACCTGCTCCCCAACCGCCGACATCAATGCTGTGAACGCTAGCGCCTACGTGTGAAGGGCAAGGTTGTAATTGTTATATGCGTTCCTAATCACAGGCACGTCTTCAGGCTTAAATCTGGGTGGCAAAACGACTGCTCTAAATTCTTTCATCTTGTTAAAGCTGGTATCAGCAAAGCAGTTTATACATCTATCTTTTTTAAACTAGTATCTCAAGCAAAATGCACCTGTGGTTCCTGAAGGAAAAGTGCTTTTCTTGAATGTGTACATCCATCTTTTGTAAATTTTAGACATAACTTTTCCAATTTTGAATAACGCTTCTGAGAAAAGTTTTCAAGAGGTCAATGCCACATTCAGCCATCACTGATTTCATTATACATTTTAAATGTATACATATATTTATATGTATTTCATAAGGACGCTATATGCACGTACATTATGTTTATACCTGCACCCCCATATCACACACACACACACACACACACACACTTCTGTATTTTCCAGGAAAAAAACACCGATGTCAGGACTTCCTGAATTTAAGTCAGATACACGGGTCGGAGCCACATCAAGCAGAAATCCTCTGCAAATGTTAGATCCCCAATTTGCTCCTCAGTCCAACCCTTCTGCTGATCTGAGAAGCAGTGCTAGGCATGTATCAAACTGAGAAGAAGGAACTGGAACCATATGCTCCAAACCAAGAGAGAAAGAAAAAAAAGAGAGAAACATGGGTGGAGATCATCAGAAACAAAATTCAGAAGCCACTGCCTTTCCTTCCTCCTAGCGCCACCTAGAGTCTACCCATCGGAAGCTGCACTGTTCTCCAAGCAGAACAATTCAACAGTTTTAAGTCAGACTAAAGGCAAAAAGTGCATAATTTCCGTCTGCATTGCAGTTCAACTGTCTTCCCCAAGATTCTCAGTAACTCAGTCCCTCAGAATTTTTCACCAACCGCCCAAAAATCCCTCCTCAAAGACTTCTAGTTCCTTGAACCAGATGCCTGAGGAATCCATGCATCTCCCTCAGGACCTGACCCACTGAAGGGAGGGACATCGCTCTGCTTGCTATCTATGTAACCAGGGGAGTCTGGAAATGATCCAAAAGGAAACAGGAGGGCTTCATGCAAGATCTGATATAGGCTGTGGTGTGTGCATGTGCATGTGTGTGTGTGTGTGTGTGTGTGTACATACAGACTGCACTTCCCACAAACTTTTGTCATCCCTATCAGTCTTCCTATCCTCCATCCATAAAACAAAAATGACCGTAACAACAACAAAAACTCAGTGTTTTTTTTTTCCCAGAACTGTCCCTGTGAAAGCCCTCCCCCCAACCTTGCACTGTTAAAGAAAAACCAAATGGTGAAGCAGTGTGACCTGAGATAAGACATGTTTGAATGACCACAACAGCCTGCTCAGTGCAGGGAAATGAACTGCTCTGGGTGCGTCACTGGAGGCTATCTGACAGGCTCGTGTGGGGACCTGTGCCCAGCTGCCCCCAGGTGGGAAACTCATCCAAGGTACACGCAGCGGGCTGGACAACACAACCCACCCTGCCTATCTCCAGGGGCTCGAGCAGCCGAGCTAGCTCTCCCTGCCAGTCCGAGCGCTAGTCTGGGATTTTTCTCTTTTCCCCATGGAAGAGAACATCTCAACAAGGGCAGTTTGCCTCTCCCTGTGGTCTTCCCTGGCCATCTCAGGAGCTGGAGGGCGTCAACCGAGGCTGGACTCCTGCGTCCAAGCAGCCTGCCGGTGTCCAGCCTGAGTCATCGGTTACTAAGGTGATATGCAAATCCAACCTTTGAAACCCAGGTTTCAGCCCATGAAGAGTAGGAAACAAGCTCCCGAAGAAGTTTTCTCCTAACACAGGTCTGAGGGAGAGCAGCTAGTCCGAGGCTGGGCCTGGGAGACAGGCAGGGCCTAAAGCTGTGCTTGGCCCTCGGACAGGACGCTGGGCCTCGGTGGTAGCGTTTTGCGCCCCCCTCCCTAAAAAAAAAAAAAGAAAAGAAAATCACCACCCACAAGATCAGCCCTGGGGGGGTAAAGTGGCCCGAAGAGGGGAGAAGTGCGGCCATGTGAGTAGAGGGGCAGAGAGGAGGTGGGACAGGCGCAGTGCACAGACTGTAGTGACAGGCGGGGAGCCTGCGACTTTAGCTTCCTCAGTCTGAAAGCAGGGGACGAGGGGAGGGGAGGGGAGGGAAGGGAAGGGGGAAGGAAGGAGGGAAGGAAGGAAGGAAGGAAGGAAGGAAGGAAGGAAGGAGGGAAGGAAGGAAGGAAGGAAAGAAGGAAGGAAGGAAGGAAAGAAGGAAGGAAGGAAGGAAGGAAGGAAGGAAGGAAGGAAGGAAGGAAGGAGGGAGGGAGGGAGGGAGGGAGATCAAGCTGTAACCACAGACTGGTTGAACCGCAGCCTCGGGACGCACAGCCGGGCGCGGTGGCACCGACGCCCACACCCCAGCGCCGCCCCCGCCGCCCCGCAGCCCGGGCCCCGCGCCGGGACCGCGGTGACCGACCTCGGCGCCGAGGAGCGAATCTGTGCGCTCCCGGGAGGCAGGGGCGCGGAGCGGAGCCGCCGGGGCGACCCCGACCCTCGGCGGCGCGGGGCGCACGCGGCTCCCCGAGCTCGGGCCCCAAGCCCCGCGCCGCCCCCCACCCACCAAGATGCTCTTACGTCCTCGTCGTCACCGTCGCTCCGCGCCTGGTACTGGAAGCGGGGCCGGCCGCCGCCGCGCTCCCGGGGCGCCGCCGCGGGCGCGGGGGCTCCGAGGGGCCTGGGCCCCGCGCCGTCGTCCTCCGGCCCCTGGCCGCCCAGGAGGCGGCTGGCCTCCGGGGGCGCCGGGAAGGAGCGCGAGGTGTTGATCTTGCCCGTGAACCTCTGGTACAGCGAAGCCATCGGTGCCCGCGCCCCCGCCGGCTGCCGGGGGCCCGGGGGGCGTCTGCGCCGCGCCTTCCCGTCTCGGGGCCCCCGCGCCCTGCCCCCTCCGGGGGGGAAAGCGAAGAAGCCGCGGAAGAAAGGGGCGCCGGCGCCGCCGCTCCGCGCGCCACTCTGGAGCCGCCGCCGGGCGACTGCCTGGCTCGGCTCCTCCGCCCCCTCCCCCGGCGGCGCGGCGGGGCCGGGGGTCTGGGGGTGCGATCGCCGCTCGGCCCCTCCCGCTTCTCTCAACTCCCTGCCACGGCCACGGCCGGCCTAGTCAAAGGCGCTGGAGGGAGGGGGAAAAAAAAAACCCAAAAAACCGTAAAGGGAGGGAAAACGCCTAGGCCCCGGAACTGGCACCACCTAGAGACGGGAGCGCAGCCGGCGCTGATCCCCGCGCTCCCCCACCCCGCCCCTCCCCACCGGCCCCTCCGCGCGGCCGGGTAATGGCGCCCGGGTGGCGGGGGGCTGGCGGCGCAGGGTGGGGGCACGGAGGGGCGGGGGCGCGCGGGGGGGGAGCGCGGGGGCGCGCGCCTGGTGCTCGGGGCGCCCCCGGCCCCGCCGGCGGTGGCGCCCCCGGGTGCGCGGGAAGAGAGCGCGGAAACCGTGGGGGGCTGGGGGGGCACTAAAGGAGGCGCAGAGCCCCGAAGGCGCCCATCCCCCGCGCCGGGCTGCGCCCCCGCGTCCGCAGGCTGGGACCCCGCGCCGCAGCGGCCTCGCCCCCTGAGCGCTCCCCCTCGGGGTTCCCTTCCAGCCTCTGTCGCCTAACTTGCAGCAGCAGCGGCCTGGGGGTGCCGAGTGGGGCGAGGGAGGCAAACAGCAGGGCTGGAAGGGGGGGCTTTCTAACGAGCCCTCCTTGCTTCCCAGACCAAGCCGGGCTCCGGAAACCTTCCTTTTCCTTCCCCCGGGCTCAGAAAGGAGGAAAAGGCCGTGGACAGCGAGGCGGGGGGGCCTGGCGGAAGGCTCGTCCCCGCACATCCCAACCCACTTGTGCCCACCGCGAACCCCGGCTTCATTTTCGGTAAACCGAGGCAGAGGCTGAAGCTTTGAGGAGGCCAGCAACTTCTCCAAAGCTCGCTCCGCCCCTCCGGCCACCGAGTGAGAGGACCGGGCAAAATAGGGCGCCGGGCTCGGCTGCGCACTCGCGCATCCGCAGTAACACGTGCTCCAGCGCCCCGGTGTGGACGGAACCCGCACGCCCGGCCCGGCCCGACGCCGGCGCACGCCGCCTTCTCCCTGGCGCTCCCGGGCTGGACTGCTCCCCGTCTTTCCCGGGGACCTGAGGGCTCCTCCTTCCCGTCTCGTCCCCACACTCCCTCTCCTCTTGTCTGCAGCCCCTCGAGATGGGGCAGATCCGTCCAAAGGCAGGACCTGAAACTGCGAGGGGAGCGGACAGGTGGACAGTGCCACCTGCCCACCTGGCTGTCCCTTCCACACCAGGCGCAAGTGGGCACCGTCACCTTCACATTCTTCCTGGACTCAGTGGTGGCCCTTGCTCTGCCTAGGCGTTCATGGCTAGTTAAGGTTTCAAAAAGTAAATAAATAAGGGCGAGGCAGGGGCCACTCAGGCCATAAGCCCGGCTCATCAGCCTCTGCTGGGTTTCAGTCCGGGGGCATCTCTGGGCCTCACTGCTCCAGCCGGATAACCCCGAGAAAGCAGTTGCCTGGACCGGAAATTGCCTCTTCCCTCAGTGTCCTTAACTAGGAGGGAGAAACCGGAGGCCGGTGAAGAAGCCTCCTGGGAGAACATACCTTCTGGTCCCTTCCACACTCTCCCCAGATCTCAACCCAGCGGGTAGTCTTGTTTTAATTAAAATTTATACCACACCCATCCTCTGTGTCATCCACTGTGGTTTCCTTCCACTATGAAGAAGAGGGTGCTTGCAAAGGTAGTTTAAAGACACGTTTTTCCTTTACGTAACCATGAAAACCAGGAGAGCAACACCCCCATAATCTAAGGGGAGCCCTGAACCAGCCAAAGGCCAGGCACACCGGTCTGGGGGTGCAGAGAGCTTCACCAGCCCCACATCACTTTGAAGACAGAGACAGCAATTACAGGAGCCGTAAAATGAAACCTTAAAAGTCATCACATTTAGATAAATAGGAAAGCTTGCTGTCACCCCCTCCTCCGCCCCAGCTGTGCTTTGATGGGAGGAAGCTCTTTCCCAGCCCGACTTGAAAGGAAGGTTCATGCTGCTCTCCGCAGCTAGGTCCTGGACACGTCACTAAATATAGATGCTGTTAGGGTCTCACTTACATAATACACCTATGAAACATGCACGTATTTATTCATGAAAACTGTAACAAGTAGCATTGTGTACTTCTTGTACTAACACTGTTTCCAAAACATGGTATTTATATGGAGATAGCTCATGTATCACACATAATACTCTACAGATGTGTTCCTATCGACTGAAACTGAGATACGGAAGGCACGTGCGTCCCTCACTTTTTTTTTTTAATATTTTTATTTATTTCTAGGAGAGAGAGAGAGAGACAGCGTGAGCAGGGGAGAGTCAGAGAGAGAGGGAGTCACAGACTGAAACAGGCTCCAGGCTCTGAGCTGGCAGTCAGCACAGAGCCCGACGCGGGGCTCGAACCCACGAACCGCGAGATCATGACCTAAGCGAAAGTCGGACGCTCAACCGACTAAGCCACCCAGGCGCCCCCGTGCGTCCCTCACTTTTAAAATCCCTTCTCAAGTGACCTTGTAGGCATTCAAATGACAATTTGGTCAGCGTTAGAAACCCTAACTAAATGATTCAGACAACAGAATAAGCAATGTTTATTTAAAACGACATAAAATGATAAAACTCAAGGGCAGCTGAAGAGTCGAGTGTTGAGAGAATGAATGTGAAAGCTGAATAGGAGAAATGGGGGTGTGGGGGGTGCTCCAGGCAGAGCCGGAGCCTCCCAGGCAAGTGGGGGGGGGGGCAGGCAGACAGCAGTGGACGATCAGGACTGGATGAGGTGCTCAGGTGGTCTACACTGAGGGCCCGCTGACTACCTTCCAAGGAATTCACTACTTTCATCCTCTGTGCAACTTAGCGCCCCGCTCAAGACTGTGGGTGGGTGTGAGTATGCACGTGCGTGTTAGCACATACGTCACACGACTTAAGTATTTCTTTAAAAGTTGCAGTGTAGGGGCCCCTGCGTGGCTTGGCTGGTTAAGCATCTGACTTCTGCTCAGGTCATGATCTCACGGCTCCTGAGTTTGAGACCCGCTTCTGGCTCTATACTGACAGTGCAGAGCTTGCTTGGGATTCTCTCTCTCTCTTTCTGTCCCTCCTCCACTCGCTCATATACATGTGTGTGCCCTCTCTCTCTCTCAAAATAAATAAATCTTAAAAAAATAAAAATTGCAGAGCATGTTTAATACACCATCAGGACTCCAAAGTCTCAAATGCAACCACGTGAGCCAGTCAGTATTTTAGGCTGAGGACGGAAATGCAATTGCAGAAAATTGCAACTATGGCATTTTGTATTCATGACACAGGATTAATTCGCTTGCTGCCTTCACTAACTTTTTCAGAGCCCCATCCCTTAAATAAGGGGGGGGGGAGTCTGAAGAGGAGAAAAACTTCCCAAAGAGCATTTAAATATCGGTGTGTTTCAGAAGGAAACAGGTCACTAAGTGCCTCACTCACCAGTTACTGAACACCTTACATATACTATATTGAAACTGATTTCCATTTCTGCCTATTGGGTAAATATGGGAAACTGTTTTGGAAAACATTCCACAGATTCTTTCATATCAAGATTTGAATTCCTCAATACTGCTGAAAACCATGCCCACTGACCCCTGTTTTCCACCGGGTTGCCTATGATGGGTTCCCCCGCCCCCATTTATTAAATAAAGGTGTGAGTGTGTGTTTTTCTTTTCTCTGGAACCAAATTACAAGCCAAATGTGATAAGTCGCTGAAATTAGGGAGCTGCTGCAAAATATGGTGGATAGTCATTTTTTTAAATGACAAGGGGAACTTTCTGGTCCACGTGCAAGCTAAGCATTATAAAAATACCAAAAGTATATTGAGTTCAGCAGCCTAAGCATAATTTTTATTAGCTAAGAGGTTTTCTTATTTCTAGGAGAGAATTACATCCTGGGGTTCACTTTCTCTTTCTCTGTGAGGAAAAGGAGGAGAGCAGAGCCCTAGGCATGATTTTTATCCCTTCCAAACCCTGAGATAAGAGGAACGTAGTGGTCAGGACCACATGCTAATGGAAGGGCTTCCCTAAAACACTGGACACCAGTAGCTCCTTGGTATTATCACTGGGGAGAAACAAAACAAATACTTGGATAGTTTAAGAAAGTACAGTGCTAAATGCATAAATACAGAACCTATTCCCAACCAAGCTCTCTATGTATCTATCTTTAAAAATATATTATTTGGGGGGCACTTGGGAAGCACAGTTGGTTAAGCGTATGACTTGGGCTCATCTCATGATCTCACTGTTCTTGAGTTCGAGCCCCACGTCGGGCTCTGTGCTGACAGCTCAGAGCCTGGAGCCTGCTTCGGATTCTGTGTCTCCCTCTCTCTCTTTTTCTCCTCCTCCACTCACGGTCTGTCTCTCCCTCTCAAAAATAAACATTAAAAGACTTTTTGAATATATATATATATATATATATATTTTTTTTTTTCTTGCCAGGTGCCGATTAACAAGGATCTCGGTAGCATGACTTGTTTACAAATTTCACAAACAGGAAATGTCTGGCACAAGAAAAGGCATTGCTTCGTCCTGGCTCTTAAAAAATACAAAACTAAAATATGCACGGAGTTAATTTTGAGGTTTTCAAGTTGATATCAAGTTGATACTTAACAATTAATATGTTCTAAAGAGAAACATTTATTTTAACCCAACAAAAAGGCTTACTCTAAAATTAACAAAGTTCAATGTTAATCTCCCTGTGGCACTTTTATTTGCATTTTAATACAACCACTATGCAACTGTGCATTTTGTGCAAGCTACCAAAACCTGCTATGGACAACTAACTACCTTCACGGTGTACCGGCAAACACACCCGGTCAGTCAACAGGAGCCACAAAGCCCATTGCCAAGTCCATACAGTAGCTGCCTATTCAACTCAAAGGCTGGTGTCAGCCTAGGGAAAATATTTGTTCCAGCCCAGTGGGTGAGGGGTTGGCCCTCCCTTCCTTTAGGGGCCCCCCTTCCTGTAGGGGTGCTCCCTCTCACTGGCCGCCTCTTGCCCCTGATGTCTTTCTGCTCCCCATCTTCTTTTCCTTCCTTCTCGCT